GTGTGGCCAGCTCAGCCCACCAGGGGGCGCGGCTGGCTGGCATGTGGTGCTGGGGGATTGAACCGCGGTCCCTGAGCTTTGCCAAGCTTGTTCCAAGTAGGTGCTTTAGACCACTGAGCCATCTCACCAGCCCCGGGAAATGGTTTTAAAAGTGTTGAGCAGATGAGGATCTCGGTTTTAAAGGATCTCTCTGTTTTTGTAGGGGAAAGAATTAAAGGAGATAAAATACCATTCTATTCTAAGGCGGTTGCAATTCTCAGCTCCTCAAACTACCCTATATGCTAAAGGAAATTAGCTCCAGACCAGCAGGGGGCAGCAGCTCCTCCAACGCAAGACAGAGCCTTCTCTAATTACCCTACCTAAAGACAGCTTCCTGTTGGCTGGAGTGGCAGCAATGCTATCCAATGGATGCCTATATCGTTTCGGCGCCAGCTAATAGGCACAAAGAGCTGTCTGCGGCTTCTGATTGGCTCCTTCGTTCACATATAAAAGACAGGCGCCGCGGCGGAACCCTCCTCTTTCCAGGCGTCCTCGTGAGAGGTTTGTGTTGCTGGAGTGTTGGCCCGGGACTGGTGGCCGGAAGCATGGGGTCTTTGGGCGGCTGGGAGAATGAGGTTGCCACTGCTGGGGGCCTACGGGGCTCCCATTTGCCCCACTTGGTGTCTGGGCGGCACCTGCGCCATTGGTGGTGGCGGCGGCACCAGCCGCCTCCCGGGCGCGGGCGCGGGTGCGGGCGCTCGGGCAGGCCAGAGTAGGCCTCTTTGAGGTCCGGTGTCCGGCGAACACCTCTGAGTTCCCTTTCTTTCCCCAGTGACATCGTCTTTAAACCCTCCGTGGCAATCCCTGACGCACCGCCGTGATGCCCAGGGAAGACAGGGCGACCTGGAAATCCAACTACTTCCTAAAGATCATCCAACTTTTGGATGATTATCCAAAATGCTTCATTGTGGGAGCAGACAATGTGGGCTCCAAGCAGATGCAGCAGATCCGAATGTCCCTCCGAGGGAAGGCCGTGGTGCTAATGGGCAAGAATACTATGATGCGCAAGGCCATCCGAGGACATCTGGAAAACAACCCGGCTCTGGAGAAGTCAGTCAGTGCCCCTGGCAGTTTAGTTTTTTACTGCTGCCCTTCTCCCTTTTCCTGGAGAAGAATGGTGCTTTCAGGTGATGTCTCTTGTATGCTTCTCTCTGCAGACTGTTACCTCATATCCGGGGGAATGTGGGCTTTGTGTTCACCAAGGAGGACCTCACTGAGATCAGGGATATGCTGCTGGCCAATAAGGTAAAGGGAAATTTGGATTGGAGAGGGAATACTTTTGTCTTTTTAAAACAAAATTGGCCATTCTCATTGTTCTTTTGTTTGTTCAGGTGCCTGCTGCTGCCCGTGCAGGTGCCATTGCACCATGTGAAGTCACCGTGCCTGCCCAGAACACTGGTCTGGGGCCTGAGAAGACCTCTTTCTTCCAGGCTCTGGGCATCACCACTAAAATCTC